CTCACAGAGCGCCGGGCAGAACAAAAGCAGCAGGAAGAGAAAGAGCATTGGCAGCCTCTCAGCCCGGCCCAGCTCCCCAGCGCCGCTCCCCATCTCTCTTGCTCTCCTCAGCTTGCTCACCAGCCTGGAGACGCCGGGTTACAAATAACCTCTTTATTGCAGATTTTCGGATCTCCGAACGGACTTTAGTTCCAGTTCCAGTTCAGGAAAAGATTCTTCTTTTTCCGAGGAGGAAGCGGTGCAAAGGCTGGCGCTGGGGAGTCTGAACCGGGGCTGCCCTGGAAAGCGCGTTGCGGCTGCGCGAGGAGAGCTGGAGGCCAAGCTCTCCACTTTGGCCAACAGCGGCGCCCAGAGTCAGCACTAGGAAACTACAGCCTCTGCCGCTTCAGTTTAACCAGTGCAGTAATTGTATTTGAGGGCCTAACTTAACAAGCCAAGTTTTTAAGTTCATATATTTAATAACAAATTATAACACACTCTTTAAGGTATATTTCTCTGTTTTCCAAATTGTTAGAAATATCACGTTGGGTTTTTATGCAAACCTGCATACATTGGTCCATTCTTTCACCATTCTGCAAACATACCTTGAACTCTTAGCTAGAACTAAGTATTGCCCTTGTCACTGCAATATAATAATTAACATGTTACAGTTCTTGCTCTCAGAGGCTTCATAATATATTGATTTCAAAAATTGATTTTTATTAGCTATGGCGTGTGGAAACACTTTTATCATTCTTCTGTTCATTTATATGATTTCCGACCCCCCAATATTTCTACTGTTTTATATTACACATATTAGGGAAATCTATACTATTTAAAACTATTTTTTAAAGTTGTGGCAATTTTGTACCAATCCCCAAACATCTCCTCTTCCTGACAATATTAACATTCTTTATAAAAATAATTTTTCTTTACTCTTCTACTTCACAAAATATTACTTCAAGTATACTGCCCATATGATGCAGCCAAGAAATGATATACCCTACTACATTGCTCTTCTTCATATCTCAAAATACTTGTCTTATGTCATATCTTTTACAGTACATAAATTCATTCTTAAGAGTTACTGTGGGAAATGCTTATCTGTTCTGCAATACAAGGTAGAAACGGATATTCTAGTGGATTGCATTATTGTCCTATCTACGTACCATCACTGTAGTGAAGAAGTGACTTTGGAATTGGATAAATGAAGCTCATAAGTTTGTTTACATAAATTTATGGAATATAGTGACATTGGTCAACCTTCTTTAGTCCATTTGTCAGATTAATAAAAACAACTAGCTAACATTTTTAGGTAGAGTAAGGATTTTCTTTCCTACCAGGGCAACTTTCATCACAGTTTTTTAAATTGCAAAGTGCCAATAATATGTTGTCCTCTCAAATGTGCATCCAAATGGTACACAAACTATGAAGTTAACTCCCACTCCACTGAATATGCACCATACAGTAGAACACTACACAATCCTTAGGAAATGTCCTTTTCATTAATAACAAACATTTATTGGGTCATCTACTTCTACCTTACATCAATCAATTCAGGGATTAGCTTTATTCAAATTCTACAAGAAGGTATGCAGGAATATAATAATGGGTAGCCTGTACTGACTTTTTACTATTAATATTCTATTTTTTTTTTTTTTTGAGATGGAGTCTCGCCCTGTTGTCCAGGTTGGAGTGCAGTGACACAGTCATGGCTCACTGCAACCTCCACCTTCTGGGTTCAAGTGATTCTTTTGCCTCAGCCTCCCAAGTAGCTAGGACCACAGGCACATGCCACCACGCCCAGATAATTTTTGTAATTTTTAGTAGAGACGGGGATTCACCATGTTGGCCAGGCTGATCTTGAACTCCTGACCTCGTGATCCACCCACCTCGGCCTCCCAAAGTGCTGGGGTTACAGGCGTGAGCCACCGTGCCCGGCCTAATATTAGTTTTTTTTTAGAGACAGGGTCTAGTTCTGTCACCTAGGCTGGAGTGCAGTGGCATGATCATAGCTCACTGCAGTTTCAAACCCCAGGGCTCAAGCTGTTCCCCTGCTCCAGGCTCCCTAAGTGCTGGGATTTCAGACATGAGCCACTGTGTCCAGCCAAGACTGAATAACTTAATTGAATTGATCAGCTTATTTAGAACTTGTGTACCTGAAACGTTGGTTCTTAAAATCAACATTCTCACCATTTCACGTCGATGCACAACCAAAACAGCTCATTGGAATTGTATTGAAATATGTTCTTTCGTATTTTACAAAAGTCACTTTCAATAGTTTAAAATTACATTTTATTTCAGATCTAATGTTTTAGCTTTTGTTTTTTGTTTGAGGGAGCAATGGACATTCTAGGCTTTAGATTTCATGTCTCCATGGGCATGGAGCCCAGGTGACCACTGACACACATACTTAATATTTAGTAACCAGTCTCATCTCCCACCAAGATCCATCTTTAAAGTTTGTTCATGTTTTGAAAGATGGTAAGAAGTATTAAAGTTTTGAAGGGCACTGGTACAGAAACAGGGCTCAGAAAAGAGGTTTAAAGTGAAAAAATCTACAAGAGCCTAGTTATAGGTTCAAATGCTAAACATAACCCTAAAAATTCTGAGATACATTTTACTTTTGCTAAGCTAATACGAGGCTTTAGACTTCTTGATAATTTTCTTAAGTTCTAGTTTAGGATACACACACACACACACACACACACATACACACAAACAATAGCAAAATTACCGGCATGGACGGGTAGGTATTTCTTAAGTGAATGAGTGATAATAGGAATAAAATACTGGAAGGCTTAAAATGGTTCAACAATCTTTTCCAAGTCGTTTAAAAGCAAATGAAACAACAACCTATGACTATTAGAGCTTAACTTTATAGTAACACCAACAAAATAAACCTGAAACTCTGTGATACACCTTAAAAATTATTTTCAACTATCTTCACAATGTTTTTCAAAACATAATTTATGCCAAATAAAATTCATCTGGAAATTAAAAGCAAGCAAAGAACTAAACTCACCTGACCACGATCAGCTTCATTCTTACATTCATGAAAATCTACGGATGTTAACAAAGAATCATTTTTCTCACAGCTCGCCTGACTGATGAGCGTGTCTGCGTAGTTGGGCTGGGGAAAGATCAAGTGACTCTTCCTTGAGTCGGCGGTGAGGGAGACTTCGTGGGAATAGGTCTGCAGGAAAGCCTGTACCTCCTCAACACCTACAAAATGTGAGGCAGGCACACCCACCAATCTGCCACCGGAACCCTGGAGCAGGCGTGACTTGTGCCAGCGCCTCAGCCTGAGTCCCAGAAGCACAACGACAAAGGCAAGGAAGACACAGGAGACGGCAGCCACCGCCACCACGAGATAGTGTGTAAGGCTCGTATCGTTCGGGTCGACCGAAGGCTTCAGACTGCCCAACTCGGTCAGGACTTCGGGGATGCTGTCAGCCACGGCCACGGTGAGCGTGACAGTGGCGGAGAGAGGGGGCTGGCCGTGGTCCTGGACGGCCACCACGAGGCTCTGCTTCAGCGCGTCTCTGTCCAGCAGGGCTCGCGCCGTGCGCACCTCGCCCGTGTGCAGCCCCACCGCGAAGAGTCCCGGTTCGCTGGCCTTGAGCAGGCGGTAGGACAGCCAAGCGTTCTGGCCCGAGTCTCTGTCCACCGCCACCACCTTGGTCACCAGGTAGCCAGGTTCTGCGGAGCGGGGCGCCAGCTCCACGCCAGTGGAACCGTCTGTGGGGAGGGCGGGGTACAGGATCTCGGGCGCGTTGTCATTCTGGTCCAGCACGAACAGGCTCAGTGACACGTTGCTGCTGAGGGGCGGGTCCCCGCTGTCGCTGGCTGTTACCAGTAGCTGCAAGTCTCGGATCTGCTCATAGTCGAAAGATTGCAGCGCATACAGGACACCGGTGTCAGAGTTGATGGAGATGTACGAGGATAGGGGCGCCCCTTGCAGCGTGTCCTCGGTCACAGAGTAAGTGACCTGGGCATTCTCCTGGCTGTCGGGGTCGTGTGCAGTCAAGGAGAAGATGGAAGCTCCTCTCAGGTTGTTCTCTAGGATATAAGCTGAGTAGGAGGCACGAGGGAATGTAGGAGGGTTGTCGTTAATGTCTGCCACGTGCAGGGCGATGTGAGTTTCAGTGGACAGAGGCGGTGTTCCTAGATCTGAGGCCATCACTGTGATATTGTAGATAGAGACATTTTCTCGGTCCAAATATTTCCTTGTCACTAATCTATAATAATTATCTATTGACTCTTCTAATTTAAAAGGTAAATTATCACGTGTGTAACAGACAACTTGACCATTCTTTCCAGAGTCTTGGTCATGCACACTCAAGAACGCAATTACTGTCCCGGGAAGAGAATTTTCTAACACTGGGCTAAACAAAGACGTAATGATCACTTCTGGTCTATTGTCATTTACATCTTCCACCGAAATGAACAATTTGGTCCTCCCCAGAAGTGCCCCCACATCTTCAGCTTGTATTTCCATTTCATAAAACGAACATTCTTCATAATCTAGACTTTTTGCTACTGATATTTCCCCAGTATTCTCATTAAGCTGGAATAACGGAGTTTGTTTTTCATTAATTTTCCGGAATTTGTATGCCACTTTTCCGTTGATTCCCTCATCCGGGTCGCTGGCTGTTACAGTAAGCAGCCGCGTGCCTGGGGGCACGTTCTCAAGGACTTTCACTCTGTAAATCGGTTGAGCAAAAACCGGGGCGTTGTCATTTGTATCCAACACTGTCACATGAATGCGCACTGTGCTGGAGCGACGCGGCTCGCCGCCATCTGAGGCCGTGAGGACCAGGTGGTGAGCAGCCTCTTCCTCCCTGTCCAGGGCGCGCTGCAGCACCAGCTCTGGGTTTATGACTCCATTGTCTCCAGTCTGCACGTCCAAGGAGAAGTGGTGATTGGGGTTGAGCTGGTAGCTCTGGAGGGAGTTCACGCCCACATCCGGGTCAACAGCTTCTGGTAGTGGATAACGTGCTCCAGGAACCGCGATTTCGTTAATTTTTACTTCTAGATCTTCGACCTGGAATTTCGGGTTATTATCGTTAATATCTATTATTTCTATTTCTATCCCAAAGAGTTTTCCTTTATCCTCAACCAGGATGTTAATATTTATCAGACACCGCGGGCTCTGAGCGCAGAGCTCCTCCCGGTCTATCCTGCCCGCGGTGACCAAGCTGCCGCTGCGCGGGTTCAGAGCAAAGAGCTGCGTCCTACCTCTGGAGACGATACGGACTCCATGCTTCGCCAGCTCCCGGGGGTCCAGCCCCAGGTCCTTGGAGACATTACCCACGAAGGAGCCTTTGTCCGTCTCTTCTGGCACCGAGTAGCGAATCTGTCCCCTCCCGGTTTCCCACAGCGTCCCCAGCAGCGCGCACAGCAGGATCAGCTCGCCGCGTCTGGGGCGACTCTGTGGAGCGGCCATTGTTATTTTGCTGCAGAATCCTTTCAGAATCTTCACGGTGCATAAGTGGGTCTTATTTAGTTTCTTGCCGCAGCTATGGAGATGATAATCCTCCGGAAACCTGCAGTGCCTCCAAACAGGGTGGGGTTTCGCTACAGTCCAGCAGTTAGTTTCTGGCATCTGCGGGTCTTTGCGAGGTGTGAGATCTGAGTGTTTTCGGTTGCATTTCTCTCCCAGTAGGTGAACAGCGGCGCTTAGAGTCCTAAATAGTTACTGCACTGAGATACAGATGACTTCTAAATGTAATACTCTACTATATTACCGAGAAAAAAATACCATCCGCTTATTACTTTGTTTTGAATTTATTTGATTTATCCCTAAACCTATATTTTAAAAGAAACAGCCAAAGAATGTGAGATGAAGGTTTTATTTAGTGTTATTAAATGATCAGATTAGATCAGAATGATCAGATTGTAGCATTGGATTAAATTACTTACATTTCTGCAATACATTTGGTCTTAAAAAAAAAAAAGATACTTTCATTTCCCACTGTGCTCTAAGCTTTATTGTAAATGACTCCAATATATACTAACAAATAACTAAGAACTTCAGTTGTCACCAGAAATGAATTTATCTTGAGACTAAAATAGACCTAATGGGGATGACTGACTCAGAAATTGTTTTATTTGGTTTAAACTACTTAATCATTTTAGAAGCTTTCCAGAGAGTTGTTGCTTTTAAATTATTCTTCTAAATGCCACTTGAATTACATGTTGATAATGTTTTCAAATAAAAATTGTAGAATTTCAATAGGATAAATGCTTTTACCATTGCAGTTTTATGAGATATTATATTGTTTTGCTATTTTATTTACATTGTTTATATTTGTCTACTTGAATACTTTAAAGGTACAGATGAATATATGATAAAAAGCAAAGCTCCATCCCATCCCTTTCACCAGAGATGATTAAATTTAAAGCAGACTTCACTTTTTAAGGTAGACATATATTCTAAAGTTAATGTAGTTAACTTTACCTACATTAATACTTTGATCTAATGAACTGCAAAAAGTAATGACTATATAATACTTACTAAGAAGCCAAACAGTAAGTATGACTACAAAAAATCTGTTTCCCTTCAAGACCAGCCTGGGCAAAATAGCGATCAGCCTACTTCACCCTTCCTTTGAAGAATGGTATGATAGTTTTTTCACTGACTGAAACTTTCTTAAAACAATTCATGAAATCTGAAAACTTTATATTTTCCTGTGAATATATTATGCATATGGAAAACTGGGTAGACAATGGAAACCATACTAGTTAAATTAGTGAAGGAAAATACTGTCTGTACTAAAAACAGAGAAATTAGACAGGTCTGGTGGCATGAGCCTGAGTTCCAGCTAGTCAGGAGGCTGATGCGGAAGGAATGCTTGAACCCAGGAGTTTGAGGCTGCAGTGAGGTATCATTGTGCCACTGTACTACAGCCTGAGTGACACAGACAGACTCTGTCTCCAAAAAAAAAAAAAAAAAAAAAAAAAAAAAAGAAAGAAAGAAAAGAAAGAAAGACAAAGAAAAAAGAAAAAGAATCAAAAGAAGTTTCCTTCCTTCAGCAATTTGTAAAGTGGCCATTAACTGAAGCAGTTGCTTAGAGATACCTAGCAAAAGACTCATATAATGTTCCTTCATATTTTGTATATATTTTGTATGCACACCAGATTGGCAGTTTTCAAGACTATATTTCTCTCCTAGAGGTAGCAGGATGATTAGAAGACCCATAACTATATTAGTTTAGGGCTGCAGATAAGGCAGTTACACATTATATATTAGGGCTGTGTGTGAGAGGGACAACAGACACAAAACATTGTCTTTTCTTTGATGGAGGATATGGAATGAGCTTGAACACAGGTTAATCCTGAAACTCCTATGTTGCAAGTAAGGAGATTCTGCTTTTGATCTTCTCATGACCATAGCAAACCCTTTTCTAAGTAAAAGGATCTCTCTCTCTCACACACACACACACACACACACAGAGCGTACACTGCATATAATCACAAGGGGTCCATGGACATAAAAATCCAGTTGACTCCTTATTCTAAGAGCTCTTGAAACAAAAGGGAAGTTAACACAAGAAACAGTAGACTACTATGGAGACCATACCAGTTAAATTAGTTAAGAAAAGTGTTGAATTTTAGCTTAAATTCTTTGGCTTTATTATTTTTATATTTATGTTATGTCCAAGCTGAAAAAAGTATTCATCATATATTAGGCAACAAGAAGGAAAATGTATGGGAAAAATCTCATTCACTTTTTAGGAGAGAGCCCATAACTGTCTAACATTTTCACTTTGTGGTTAAAACCACACCCTCATTGCTTTGTAAATCTAAGCTTGGCTAAAAAGCAAACAAACAAATGTTGGGCCATTGCTCCTACTTCACTCCTCTTTTGAAGAATGATATGACAGCTTTTTAACTGACTACAACTTTCCTCAAATGATTCATGAGATCTAAAAGTTATATATTTTCCTGCAAATATGTATATTTTCTTGTGAATATGGAGAAATGGGTAGGCAATGAGAATTAAGTTATACTTAAAGGAAACTCACCTGATGGGAAGTCAATTCACTGGAATTACAAAGTGGAAATAAGGCCCCAGATGAATCACCGCAAAGTATATCTTGTCCTGAACTCAACTGTTCACTACATTTTAGGAAATTAAACTCCGTCTTTCCTGTATGTGCAACACATAGGTTGTAGGAATAAGGCAACGTCCCTTCGCTGTAGTTGGGGGGAACCACAGGTCCAGACTTGACACAGAGACC